ACCTTCAAAAGATCACTGAATGAAGGAAGATAAATAAATAAAAGAAGGGAAGTAACAATGAGCAGCTGAATGGAATGATCTTTATTCTATTGTTCATTCCTGGGATAAGGGCATCACTGGGCAGGCCAACATTTATTGCCCATCCCTAATCCCAGTTACGAGTCAACCACATGGCTGTGGGTCTGAAGTCATATGTAGGCCAGGCCAGGTAAGGATGGCAGTTTCCTTCCCTAAAGGGCATTAGTGAACCAGATGGGATTCTCCTGACAATTGGCAATGGTTTCACGGTCATCATTAGACTCTTAATTCCAGATATTTATTGAATTCAAATTCCACCATCTGCCATGACAGAATTCTTACCTGTGTCGCTAAAACATTACCTTTGGTCTCTGGATTAACAGTGCAGTGATAATTCCACTAGGCTATCACTTCCCCAGGAGCATCTAAAGGAAACATGCAGACATGGGGAGAATATGCAAACTCCACGTAGACAATCGCCCAATTATATGAATGGTGCAGAAGGATTAGCAGGTAGGAATAGGGAGATTGCTGGCAATGTAGGGGAAGAAATTGAGAGGCAATGGAAAGAGGCAGGTGGGCAATAGATGGTAAAGTAATGCTACACGACCCACTGACCTGCCCATTGACGTGTTTTCGAAAGTGTGCATGCATGAATTTTGCATAAAGGTAGAATAGCTCTTCTGATAAATACTCTGTCTTTTACTTGGATCTCCAGAGTTTTCAGGGATTGCAGTGGAAAGTTTTTGTTTTGATTTTTAAGACTTTTGTTCTTTCACTGGAGCTGGAGTGTTGGGAAATAGTGTTGTGCAAGCTGACAGCTGCATCGCACGTTACAAATTCTAGTGATGTGTGTGGTTTACTAAGTGCTTTGAATTGCTTAAGCTTACTGATAAAACCTGACTGCTTGTCCTGAGAATGGATAACAAATTTGACGTGAGTCAGAGTTGGTCTACTGTTGTGTTTGGGGTGGAAGGAGAGTACAGGGTGAATTGGGGAGGGGAAGAAAGGGGGAAAGGCAAGAGGGTGCCTTACTGCTTCACAAATTGAAAAATCATAAGACCCCTGCCAAACACCTTTCGTCTATTCATATAGAAATCAAACAGCAATTTGTTGTCAGGATTTTTCACAGCGCTACTCAGTTGAATTCTGCAAAGTCATGATGATGAATTGGGAGCAATTTTAAGTGAATCCCTGATGAAGGAAGTAGTCATATCTCCTGATATCTCTTACTTTAAGACAGCTCTTTAAAGGGATAACAGTTGAGCTACTGATATGGTTTCAAGATGTGCAGATCTATTTAAATACTTTTTATTCCACACTGCCCCTCAGATTTTCAGTTGCTTGCAACAGGAAGGTTGGTGAAGTATATAAAACACTGGAGGGAAGGATTATACAGAGACCACATCACAGGGTAAATATTTTGTAATCAACCTGTACAGAAATGATTTCACACACCTCCAGGACAGATGGGACTTGAACCTGGGCTTCAGGTAGGGATAGTACCACTGCATCACAAAAGCCCCAGACTTGGGGTGCCATGCCCTCTCTCCTTACTTTGGGAAGCATGCATTTAATTTAGAGAGTGTGCAACAAATATCCACTAGATTGGTCGAAGAGAATTGACCTATGGATAGAGGTATGAAAAGACCAGACTTACACTTTGTACAGGTTAGAAGATTCAAAGATGACTTCGCTAAAAGCTATAATGTTGGAGGCTGTGTGGTGATTCCTTATAGAAGTTTATAAAATCATGAGGGACATGGATAGTCAAGGTCTTTTCCCCAGAGTAGGGGAGTCCAAAACCAGAGGGCATAGGTTTAAGCTGAGAGGGGAAAGATTTAAAAGAGACCTAAGGGTCAACATTTTCATACAGAGGGTGGTGCATATATGGAATGAGCTGCTAGAGGAGATGGTGGAGGCTGGTAGAATTACAACATTTAAAAGGCATCTGAAAGGGTATATGGGTAGGAGGGGTTTAGACTGATATGGGCCTAGTGCTGGCAAATGGGAATAGATTAGTTTAAGGTATCTGGTTGGCATGGGTGTGTTGGACCGAAGGGTCTGTTTCCATGCTGTACATCTCTGTGACTCTATCTTTATGGAATGCGGCTGGGGAGTCTAGAGCACGGGGTGACAGTCACATAATATAGAGTCAGCCATTTTGTTTGAGACGGGGAAAAGTTTATTGTTTAAATGGCTATGAATCTTGGAACTTTTCAGCACAGAAAATTGTGGCTGCTTAGTCATAGAGTTCATTCAGGACAAAGAACAATGGAGTTTTCAGTATGAAAACGATTAATGATGTGGGGATTTTATGAGGAATTGGAGTTAAGGGAGAAGATTGGCCATCTTGTTGAGTAGAAGAACAGGTCATAGCTCCTAATTCTTATGCAGCTATTTACTGGTGTTTTTAATGTTGTTTAAATATTTCAGCAAAGAACTACAATCCAAGAAATTGATTGATTCCAGATTGATTTCTGTAAACTTGCTTTTAATATTCACACAACAGAATTCACTCAAAAAATGTTTTCACGTAATAAACACAAAATTAATAGAGAAATAGAGAAGGTTTTTTTAACACAGGTCCATTATCGTGATATGCTGGTGTTCACATTAAATGCGTATCTTTACAGAAGCAATAAATCAGTTAGGTCGATTATTTTGATCAAATTATCTCTAGGAAAACATAAACACAAGCAATAAAGGTTCTACAAATGTTATAGTGTGCTACTCACTTGCTAATAATAATGCAGTGATAGTCTTATTGAAACATAAGTCTGCAGGAAATAGATGTGACTTGTCCCTATTACATCAGAAAATGAGTAAACCGTAGACATTAATCAACGTAAACAAGTTGATTTCTTGCCTAATTCAATGCAAATGGTTACAACTAAGGGCTAGACAATGTTTGCCAGCTTTAAATAAGCAAGTTATTTATATTGAAATATTATAATGAAATAACAACAAATTATTGCTGATTTTATCTTGCCAACTTGACCAATATAAGCTTTCTTTGAACCATTCTGTGTGATCTTTCTCTCTTCCCCTTCCTTACCTTCCAAATCAATCTTCATTGCATTGTATCCTATTAATTCATTCTTTCCCAAGTCCTCAGAGAACAGTGCATTTTCTCGTTTTTCACAAACATTTTACTCTCCTTCAGGACTGAAAGAACAATGGATGCTGGAAATCAGAAACAAAACAGAAATTGCTAGAAAATATCAGCAGGTCAGGCAGCATCTGTGGAGAGAAATCAGAGTCAGCGTTTTAGGTCCAGTGACCCTTCCTCAGAACAGATGCTGCCATAACTGCTGAGCTTTTCCAGCAATTTCCAATTTTGCTGCTTTCCTTCAGGCCTGTCATCATGCAATGACTATTTTCCTGATCCTTCTTATTTTGCCTTCCAAACTATTTGATTTGAGTATTGGTTTTTCAGGCTGGGACTTGACTTCACCATTGTATATGTATAACAAACCTGTGTGACATACCTTTGTTTCATTGAGAAATGCTGAGCAGAATCTGGGCTGAGATAGGGAACGAGTGAAGTTGAGAGGTTTAAATGTTTGTTCCTCCATTCTTAGTCAGGGCATTTCAATTTGGTTAAGTGACAATTTCACAGTGAGAAATTCTAAACATTAGGTATTTCCCTCAGAGTTCCATGCTATCGGAGAGGTATGTTGAAGAAGTTGAGGTGAAGATAGGAAAATACAATGCGTGAACAGTGTTTGCTTCCAAATAAAACAGAATATGCTGGAGAGACTCAACAGATCTTGCAAATGCTGTGGACAGTTCTATTTTGAGTCTGATATGACTCTGTTCCTAACTGGCTATAGAGCCATAGAGTCATACAGCACAGAAACAGACCCTTCAGTCAAACCAGTCCATTCTGAACATAATCTCAAACTTAACTAGTCCCACCTACCTGCTCCTAGACCATATCCCTCCAAATCTTTCCAAATCATGTGCTTACCTAAGTGTCTTTTAAGCGTTGTAATTGTGTCTGCATCCACCCTTTCCTCTGGAAGTTCATTCCATATACGAACCACCCTCTGCGTAAAAAAGTTATCCCTCATGTCTTTTTTAAATCTCTGTCCTTGCACCTTAAAAAATGCCCCCCAGTATTGAAATCTCCCACCCTAGGGAAAAGACACCTACCATTAACCCTATCTATACCCATCATGATTTTATAAACTTCCATAAGGTCACCTTTCAACCTCCTATGCTCCAGTGGAAAAGTCCCAGCCTATCCAACTTTTCTTTATAACTCAAACCTTCCATACTCGGCAACAACCTAGTAGATCTCTTCTTAACCCTGTCTAGCTTAATAATATTCTTTCTGCTTCTCTCTCCACAGATGCTGCTAGTCCCTCTGAGTTTCTCTAGCAATTTCTGTTTTCATGTCATATTTGCAGCATCTACAGTATTTTGCTTCTGTGTGAGTATTCATTCCCATGTTGCAATATCTCTTAGCTACTAAATAATGGAAACTGTAAACCAGAGCTCAATGAAATATTATCGTCCATGCTCATACTAGGTCCCATTCACTCCTTAATTCTAAAATTGCTATGTTAACCTGCAATCTGCCAATGCCCTGATTCAGAATTCTCATCCTTGTTTTCAGATCCCTTCAGGATTTTACTCATCTCTATTCTGTAATTTCATCCAGACCTACAAATAATCCCATCTCCAAGGATGTTTTTAGCATTTGTGTCCATTTTTTTAACATTTGTGACTCACCGGCTGGGCCAGTATTTATTGCCTGTCCCTAGTTATCCTTGAGAAGGTGGTGGTGAGCTGACAACAGAATGGCTTGCTAGTCCATTTCAGGATGGCAGTTAAGAGCTAATTGCTGTAGGTGTGGAGTTACGTGTAAGCCAGACCAAGTAAGGAGATTTGCTTCCCTAAATTACATTAGTGAAACAGATGAGATTTTCCTGGCAATCAGCCATGACATCATGGTCATTGTTTGATTCTTAATTCCAGATTCTTCATTGAATTTAAATTCCACCATCTGCCATGGCAAGATTTGAACTCAGGTTCCCAGAACATTACCTGGGTCTCTGAATTAATACTCTGGCCACCATACCACAAGACCATCACCTCCTCAATGAAATCTTGATGACTTCCTAACTCTCACTAATGGCTCCAGGGCCCATACTCTGGGACCATGCCTTGGTGTATGCAATGCAGAGACAGTAATCCAGGAGTAATGGATAACCAGTGGCTAATTCTGGAACTCTAAAGCTGGCACTACCAACCATAAGTGTGTAAATATTGCAGCATCAGTTTTAAGCTTCCAAACACCTCTCTTCGATGCAACTGAGAATTTCAAGAAAGTTCAACTCAGGCTAAAGAACACGTGTGACTCAAACTGCTGACATTCAAAATACTCCAGCTATGATTCAGCAGTGCTGCAGAAGAATAGAAGGCTGAGAATAAAATGGCTCTTAACTAGATAGTGTCATGCTCTTAACTCAATATTTATCCTTGCTTGAAGTCTCTGACATCAGTTTTTGGCCAAAGAATGGCAAATTGCTGAGTAGGGTCTCTCTAAAGCGGTCACCCAGCATGAAGTAGAAAATGGGGTTAATGGCAGAGCTGAGGTAAGCAATAGGCCTTGTGATTGCATAGCCAGCTTTTATCACCTTGAAAATGCAAGTCTTCCTCCCCATTCTGGAGGCAATGCGGATATTGCGCATGACATGATAAGGAGTGAACAGCACCAAGAAAATAACTACTGCCAATATTACGAGGCGATGGGGCTTTTTCAGCTTAATTGTCCTGCGTCGCTGTGCGTTGATTTCCCTTAAACACTTGGCTGTTTTAATGGAGCAATACGCCATTATGCAGAGCGGGAGGATGAAATCAACAATGGTGAGGAACAAACTGTAAACCAGGCTGTCTCTGGCTTTCCCCGAGCTGGCATAGTCAACACACACCACAGCATTATCGTCATTGTCCGTGATGTTCTTGGGACCAATGAAGGTGAACATAGGCACCAGCTCCACGGTGACAAAGATCCACAAGAGGAAACAGATAATGGCAGCAGTCTGCTTTTCCTGGAACCGATAGAGATTTGTTGGGCTTTTCACCAGCAAATATCGATCAATACTGATACACGTCAAGTAGAGGACACTCAAGTAGAGGTTACAGTTGAGGAAGTACCGATTAAACTTACACCATAGGTCACCGTAGTACCATTCACTGTCATTTGCATATTGGATCACAAACATAGGAAGAGTGCAAATAAAAAAGAGATCTGTGACAGAGAGGGAGAAGAGGTAGATGTTACTGCACTTCCACTTCTTTAGGCAGAAGATATAACCACTTATCACAGTGACATTGCCAATGAGTCCCACTATGAACACAATGGAGTACATTGTTGTTAGGTAATACTTTTCCACGTGAGAATTAATATCTGTGCAAGTCTCATTTGTTTCCTAGAAATTAAAAACAAGTAAGAATTAGCTTAAAGAGGAACAGGAAGGCACACAATTAAACACATTGAAGAATTGACACTTTAAGGCTTCATTGTTGACTCAGTGGATATAGCTGACATAGCATTTAATCTTTGACTCCTCATAAGGTACAGTTGCAGCAGTCTTACCAGACTATAGGGCAGCTCTCTCATTAGAGAAGAAGGTGGTGGTTTAACCTGAGGGTCCTTCCACCTCATGGGAGAGATGGAGAAGGAGAATCCTTCACAGTAGCCTCAGCTGATGCAGGATGCTGTCAATAAAGTTGGCATTATTCTGCTTTGCAAACCAGCCACCCAGCCAACCAAGCTAACCAATCCCCGCCCCCCCAAATCCTGCTACAGTACTGAGAGAAAACTGCCTGTCTGCAATAAATTAGGCACTACTAAGTCTCACAATTATCAACATGATGATAATCAGACCATTTGCTTTTTTTTAATGACGTTGCTTCATGATTAAATATTGGGAAGGAGATCACAGACTAGGGCTCCTCGAATGGTCTTCATGGGACCAAAAATTTAGAGCCAGGTGGACTACGAGGGAGCCTTAGTTTAATGCCTTAACTAAACAAATATTTAAAAGTTGATTCAAAATTTCTCATAACATCAGACAATATAATCTTCAGGCGTAAATTTGCACCTGGATCAGTAGCCTTGGGTGGAATTTTTAGGGATGCCTGGAGAATATACAAGGGAAGGCCCAAGGTAAAAGTTCAATTTCTTTTCTTTTCACTCTTTCATAAGCTTTGTTGATTGGGTCAACATTTATTATCCATTCATAGCTGCCCAATGAGATAGTGCTGGCGAGCTGTCTTCTTGAACCACTGAAAAGGTAGACTGACACTACTGTTTGGAAAGGAATTCCAGGATCTTAGCTGAGCCAGAGTGAAGAGGTGGTGATATATTTCCAAACAGTGAGTGGCTTAGAGGGCAACTTACATGTTGTAGTGTTCTCATGTATCTGCTGCCCTTGTCCTTCCAGGTGGAAATGATGGTGTGTTTGGAAGTGGCTGTTTAATAGGGCTTGGTAAATTTCTGCAGTGCATCATGTAGATCGGACACATTGCTGGTCCTGAATGTTGGCGAAAAAACTTAGAACATAGAACAGCACAAGAACAGGCCCTTTGGTCCACCACATCTATGCTGACCATGATGACATTCAAAATTAATCCCATCTGCCTGTATGTGGTTTTATCTCTCTATTCTCTCCTGTTCATTTGTCTTTCCAAATGCCTCTTAAATGCTGCTGTCGTATCTGCTTCTACCGCCATCCCTGGCAATATGTTCCAGGTTCCCACCACCCTCTGTGTAAAAAACACGTCTCGCACATCTCCTTCAAGTGCTCGCCCCCTCACTTTAAACCTATGCCTCCGGGTATTTGACATTTCCATCCTGGGAAAAGACTCTGAATATCCACGCCTCTCATAATTTAAATACTTCTCTGAGGTCGCCCCTCAGCTTCCAACAATCTAGCAAAAACAATCCAAGTTTGTCCAACCTCACCTTATAGCTAATACATTCATATCCAGGCAACTTCCTGGTAAACATCCTTTGCACCCCATCCAAAGCTTCCACATCCTTCCTATGGCGTGGCAACCAGAACTTTACACAATACTCCAAATATGGCCTAAAGTCTCATACTGCTGCAAATTGACTTGCCAACTTCTATACTTAGTGCCCTGACTGATGAAGGCAAGCATGTTGTACATCTTCTTTACAACCTTATCCAATTATGTTGTCACTTTTGGGGAGCTATGGACTTCCACCCCACGATCCCTCTTTACCTGTGCTTTAAAGGGGGTTATCATTTATTTTGTACTTTCCTCTTGCATTTAACCTCCCAAAATGAATCACCTCTCTCTTGTCCAGATTAAACTCCACCTCCCATTTCTTTGCCCAACTTTCCAACTGATCTATATCCTGCTGCATCCTTTGACAACCTTCCTCCCTACACACAACTCCATCAATTTCCACGTCACCTGCAAACTTATAAATCAGACCACATGTATTTTCATCCAAATGATTTATACATATTTAAAACAGCAGAAGTTCCAGCACTGGTCCTTGCAGAGCACCACTGATCACAGACCTCAAGTCAGAAAAACAGCCTCCACATGCATCCTCTGTCTTCTATGACCAAGCCAATTTTGTATCCGACTTACGAACTCACGTGGATCGGCATATGAATTAATCTACTGGACTAGCTTACCATGAGAGACATTGTCAAATGCTTTAATAAAGACCATGTAGACAATGTCCACTTTCCTACCCTTATCAATCATCTTTGTCACTTGCTCAAAAAACTAAATCAAATTTATGAGACAAGATCTCTCCAGCATAAAACCTTACTGACTGTCTCAAATAAATCCATTTTTTAATGAATGCGAATAAATCCTCCCCCTAGAATCTTCTTTGCTAATTTCCTTACCACTGATGTAAAGCTCACCAATCTATAATTTCCTGGATTATCCCTGTTGTCTTCAAACAAAGGAACAACATTGCCCATTCTTCAGTCTTCTGGGACCTCACCGGTGGCTAAAAAGGATGCAAAGATCTCTGTCAAGGCCTCAGCAATCTCCTGCTTTGTCTTCCTCAATATGCTGGGATAGGACCCATTAAGCCCTGGGGACTTATTTATCTTAATGTTTTTCAAGGCACCCAACACTTCCTCCTTCTTAATGTCGAAATGCCCTAAAATACCAACACACCCCTCCCTGTCATATAATCCACAGCCTTCTGCTTGCTGAATACTAATGCTAGGGACTCACCCAACTCCTCTGGCTCCATACATAAATTCCCTTTTTTGTCCTTGAGTGGACCTTTTTATTCCCTAACTACCCTCTTGTTTCTAACGCATATATAAAATGCCTTGGGATTCTCCTTAGTCCTACTTGCCAAGGGCATTTCACAGCCCCTTTTGGCTCTCTTAATTCCTTGTCTAAGTTCTTTTCCTGCTTCCTTCATATTCCTCAAGGGCCTTGTCTGATTTTAGTCTCCTAAACCGTACATGTGCTTCCTTTCGCTTTTTCACTAAACTATCAATATCTCTTGTCATCCAGGGTTCCGAATGTTGCCATCCTCACAGGAATATGCTGGTCCTGAAATCTGATCAACTGGCCTTTAAAATACTCCCACATGTCAGATGTGGATTTACCCTCAAAAAGCTGGCCTTCAAGCTAATTTCTCCAGTTCATGCCAAATACTTTTGCAATTAGTCTTTCTCCAATTCAACACTTTCATCCGAGAACCAGTCTTATCTTTATCCGTAACTGTTTTAAAACTAGGGAATTTTACAATTTTTCCCAAAATACTTCCCCATTGAAATATTGATCACCTGGCCAGGCTCATTCCCTAATACAAGGTCCAGTACAGCCCCTTCCCTAGTTGGACTATCTGCATATTGTTTTATTGATGGCAATCAAGTGGGCTGCTTTGTTCTGGATGGTGTCAAGCTTCTTAAGTATTGTTGCACTCACCCAGGTAAGTGAGGACTATTCCATCACACTTCTCACTTGTATTTTGTGATTGATTGATAGGCTTTGGGGACTCAGGATGTGAGTTACTTTCTGCAGTACTTCTAACCGCTGACCTGCTCTGGTAGCCACAGTATTTATGTAAATGGAAAATACTGAGAATGCTGGAAATCTCAAACAAAGACAATGCTAGAGGAACTCAGCAGATCTGCCAGCATTTGTGGGCAAAGAAACAGAGTTAATGTTCTTCTTCAGAACTTACCTTAGTTCAGAATGAGAGTCATATCAGACTCAAGGCATTAACTCTGTTCCTGTCTCCATAGATTCTACCAGATCTACTGAGTCTCTCCAGTGTTCTCTATGTTTGTCACAGTATTTATATGGCTAGTTCACTTTAGTTTCTGGCTAATGATAACCTTTGACAGTGGGGGATTCAGCAATAGTGATAAAATTGAATATCAAGGAGCAATGTTGAGCAGGCAAATGGGAGCAGTTTAGTTTGGGAAACTTGGTCAGCATGGACTTGGCTTGGCTCCATTAGGTTCTTTTGTGTAGTGTGAATTATACATGCTATTTGTTAGCCCAAACCTGGATATTGGCCACAGCTTGCTGCATTTTGGCAAGGATTGCTTCAGTATCTGAGGCTTTGTGATTGGTGCTGCATATTGTGCAATCATCAATGAACATCCCCACTTCTGACCTTCTGTTGGAGGGAAGATCATCAATGATGCAGCTGAAGATGGTTGGGCCAAGGACACTTCCCTGAGGAACTCCTGCAGAGATATCCTGGAGCTGAGATGACTGACGTCCAATAACCACAACCATCTTCCTATGTGGCAGGTATGACTCCAGCCAATGGAGAGATCTCCCCAACCCCAGATTCTCATTGTCTCTAGAATTGGTCAGGCTCCATGGTGCCGTATGCAGTCTAATGTCACCTTGATATCAAGGGCTGCTACTGACTCATCTCAGAAATTCAGCTCTTTTGCATATGCTTCAACCAAGGCTGTGATGAAATCAGGGGCTGAGTGGCCCTGGCAGAGCCCAAACCCAGCATTGGTGAGCAGGTGCTGTGTGATAGCACTGTCAATGATCCCTTTCATCAATTTACAGAGGATTGAGAGTAGAACTATGGGGCACTCATTGGCTGGATAGAATTTGTCTTTTTTTGTGTACACTACATAGTAATGCAATTCTCCACATGTTTGGGTAGATGCTGATGGAATAGATGTACTGAAATGCCATGGATATGGATGTAGTACATATCTTCAGCACTATTGCTGGAATGGTGTCTGGACCTACAGCTGTGGCAGTATTTGCTGCTTCCAAATATCATGTAGAGTGGCCCAAATTGACTGACGATTGGTAGCTGTGATGCTGGGGACAGTTGGAGGAGGCTGAGATGATCACTCACTTGGCCCTTCTGGCTGAAGATTGTTGCAAATGCGTTAGCCTTATCTTTTGCACTGATGTGCTGGGCTCTTCCATCATT